TTAAATAGACGCGGGGAGAATTAATCTAATAACTTTACATAAAAAACTTTAAATTCCGAAATACATCTTGGTTCCCATTCGGAAATACATGTGTAGATACACTGTGGGTGTAAAGCAATATATTTCTTCCGAACACTGTTTTAGGGTGGGAGCTTTTAGACCATGTTTTTACATTACACGGGTTTTAATTCCGCTTTTACCGACCTCTCGCGGCGGGTGGCTTAATGAAAACTAGTTCATTGTTTTTCCCACTCACTTTTTTGCGTTACCCAATAGGTACGTGATATTTGCAGAATTGCTGTTGGATAACAGAGATAGTTTTAAGTAAACAGAGCCACCTGAAATGGTTTTTAATATCCATTCATATTACTATAATGGAACTTGTTAAATAATTGTTAATTGACTGGTCTAACGTTATGTGGATTTTCAGCGAAACGATTGTGTTTCAGCGAAATTCAACATTTAAATTACATTTCAGCGAAATTTAGCATTTTTTATTTTCATTGGAGCTCACTTTTTATGCTTTAAAATGTAACATTCATTGTATTTTGGTTCGATTAGTTGACGTCACGCTTTAATTTAGTAATTTTAAGAAGTTCATTTAACACACATAAAAGTAACAGTTTGGAAGACCGTCGGGATGTAGTAGATCTTTGCACCTTGCATAAAGTAGTGAATGGTGCACTCGACTCTTCACTGCTTCAAAAGATACTGTTTAGGGTTCCGAAGCGTTCAGTGCGTCGACCTCAGCTGTTTCATGTACCACTCGCTACAAATAATGTCTCAGTAAATCACCCTATTTACAGAATGTGCAGGGCCTACAATAGTCTTGACGTTGACAAGGACATATTCCAGCATACATTTCGGGTTTTTAAAAATAAATTAAGAAATGCTGATTAGATTGTTGGATTAGTTGTTGTTGTAGCTAACATTAGTTTTTGTTGTTTTATCTAAGCACTTAAGTTATTAGGCATAGTTGTGTACAGTTGTAATTGGTCCATAGATTTGTAAGTGATTTGTAGCTGTATTTTTTTTACTAAATAAGTAGTATTCTATGTACTGTAACTGTACCTATTAATAAATAAATAAATAAATAAATAAACACATGATTAGCTAAAATGTGACCGCCACCAGTCAACAGAATGATCACAGCAAGCATCTGTGATTGTGCGCAAATATTGTGGATCACATGACTCCATTGGGGTCGGCGCACGAGTCACTGTGACAATACTTGCTCAAAGCTGTACTTGGAATAACGCGTGACGATAGATACGTCACCAAAGTTTGTTTTATTATAATTACTTTGGCATTAGGCAACCTGTGTTGTTGGCCTACATGCGGAATATTATTTAATTTAGGATTTTTTAAAATCCATTGATATCTTCGAGAGAGACGGGTAGGGCAGATTATGGAAATCCAAACAACTGCCAAATCAGACGAATTTATAATATTTTCACTATGAAAATAGTTTTCAGCAAGAGCTGGACAAAGTCCTATACATTAGAAATTTAGGCAATTGTCCAGTTACTGAAATCTAAGCTCCATCTTCACAGCTTAGTATTGTTAATATTGTTTTAAATTCTAGTCAGTTTGCAATGATAAGAGTGGATCAACTATTTTTTTTATTCTTCTATCCTTGGTTCGTAGCAATGCCTTAACGATTTCAAATCGAAATCTAACGTCACGTTGACTACAGACACTGTTCTGATACTCCAACATTGTCAGGCTAGAAGAAAGTAAAACAATTACAGAATGTTTTACAACAATGTTGCGGATATTTATCAAACACTGCCTTAATGTTATAATTATTAACCCCTGTCGCTGAGCACAACCTTGAACTTATTGTTATCGAGTGATGTTCAGTGTGACCTACATCTATGTTGTAAGTATTGAATAAAAAATTGACTCTACATAATGTGCGTAGTTCAGAAAATGTGGAAATGTATTTTAAAGCTGAAAGTCCTATTGCATAATTTACCTGCGCCAAAATGCATAAAAATCTATTTCAGATAAAAGTAGTGTAGGATACTCCACGCATCGATAGGCAATTAACACATTGACAACCACTATAGAACGATCTCAAGATGTTATCAGGTAGTATCTGGATGAAAAAAAGCAGAAAATTGTATTCTTCAGCTCCGTCCAGTATCCGCCTCTACAACCGATGTGAACAACGCCTCAACGTGACCACGACCGCTCTGCCAAGAGCGAAACGAATAAGAAGAAGAAGAAGACCTTAGAGTTTAATAATTTCAATAAATACTTCAGGATTTAGGTACCTACTGTAATCAAAGATCGACAACTAGATGCAATGTTATGGCATTGCATAATGCTTGCAAGAAGAGTAAGAGTAAACTTGTGTTTACATACCGATTAGTACTGCAGCTCGTGCTTATTTTAACGCCATAATAATATACACGTATAAACGTTAATCAAATAGCTGTCAAATGCCTCTATTGACAATTATGTAATTAGATAATTACATATTATTAAAACATAATTTTCATATACGTTAGCTGACTAATACCTACAGGTATTGTAAAAATTGATGTAAACGTTTTATGAAATAACTCTTTTTAGGTTAATAAGCAAATTCTGAAGCAAGCTATATCAAAAGAGTTGCAAATACCTACTAATTTTTGACGAGTGTTTGCAACTCCTGTAATGTTCTAGGGCTTCATATACACGGAAAGTCTATTAAAATGTATGTACTTTATGACGTCATATTGTTTATTTTCAACTTTCAATCTAAGCTTTTGAATGAATTTATAACCTTTTCGAAACAAGGACATAGAGTTCTGGGAAATATTGTTGCGCTCGGCCCCGGTGAATATTGTAGAAAACAATTTTAAACTTTGAAATGCAATTCCGAGGCTGTACTTTGAAATGCTAATGTCATAATGTTGTATTTGAATCGGGTTTTCTTGCAATATTGCACGAGTGGACTTCACATCGTTGGAATAAGATTTATGCGAAGTTTGACGTGGTTTTACTCGAGAATGGAAGTCTTTTCTAGCTTTTATTCGAAATATTTTCGTTGTTATTCTGGTTAGAAATATAGGAGAGTGGATTATTCACTCAGTAAAATTTGAGACAGAAATAATACACACGCCCGTATTCACAAACATTACTATGAGGTCTCACAGTGTGCGTGGACGCACAGGGTCACATACGAACCAATCACAGAGCTCTATTCAACGCTGTGCCTTCGATTTGCTGCTTAAGTTAATTAAGTTAATCGTTAGTGAAAACGGGCGATAGTCAAGTTATGAATCTACACTCAAATTTTATTGAGCTCTAACCGTTTTATAAGAATAAGAGTCTAGTTTTGACAAACAATACACCGATGGACTGAGGGGTTGATTAGTGACTGATGCGCGTCTCAAAAGCTTTCTTACTAGATTTCAGAACTTCTTTACAATTTCAATTACCTATAATGTAGACTCTATTTTTGAAGTTTCTAAATATTTGTAAGACGCTAGATTGCTTATCGATTAGAGATGAGACGTATTTACTAGAACAGATCCACACACTAGGTATTTTACAGTACTAGGCGGCACCTATTCCAATTTTTTAAATACTTGATCCACCTTGTATTTTATAAATTACACGATTTCCGACCCTACCATCAAAGTAATAGAGGTTATTATTGCGTAATCCGTAGTCGTGCATTACGCGCACCTAGTATTTCTCGCTAAGCTTATGTGCGAACGTAGAGATTAACTCCGTCTATGTCTGACCAAAAAAATTTGAGTGCGACGAAGCAAACGCACACAAACGTAGTCAAACCATATTCATGTAAATAAGAAAAAATATGTATAATAAATATTTTTATGAAATTGATATCTTTTAAATACGCCAACTTTTAAGTTGACAGTCCAAAGCCTGTTGAAGTATGAAGGGAGGAATTATTATTCAATTTCAAATTGCATTATTCATATTACGGTTGTAACTTTTAAAAAAAATTGTATTTTAAAGTCATATTACGTGGATTAGTCCGCACTAGTCGCGTCAAGTATGCTAAATTACTACGTACTAGGTGGAATAGGTATTTGGATCGAGTATTAACAAATACTAGGAATAGGTGCACCTAGTATCAAATTTACCTAGTATAACCCATCTCTATTATCGATGTTCTTTTGTTTACATTAATTAAATATAGCCACGATAGCCGAACGGTTGGACTGGCCGGCTCGTGATCCGAGGAACGCGGGTTAGAATCCCGCCGCCGCTTGACTATTGTGGTGAGCCCACTCGTGACACAAGCATATTTAGCTAAGTACGAGGGGCTCACGGGACTATTAGTAATTTGTGCAATATAAATAAATCACTAATAATCTCAAAAAAAAATTTTGTAAGCCTCTGTTCTTTTATGAATTTTCGTTAAATTTTGATGCAACTTGAATACCAATAAACACATTCCTTCACTGCACAGGCTTGTTGTCTCAAGGCTTAACATCTCAAGCTGTCGGTGGCCGTGTTGTGACAGTGCTGGGCTGCTGCTAATGTCAGCTGATAAAGACAAACGAAGCGCGCGACTATTATTTGTAAAATATTACTCCAAGGGCTAGGAGACCTTTCGGCTTTTTTACTTACACGATTTTTTAAATACCTATAAATGAGATGGAAAGCCGGTAAGATGATTCTTATAACATTTAATATGTAAGTAATCTTTTAAGAGTCTATGAGGCGAATTTATCTAATACAGTCAACTATTCTTGAACTCGTAACTATAAAAATACTTTGACTGTTGAATAATGAAGCTTTTGAAATCCTTTGAATAATGCTCCGGAATCCTTACTGAAATGGGATTCTTAACGAAACAATTCATCACTATCAATTATTTATTTTAAATTGTATCAGCTATGCACTCCAATGGCGTAGCCTTCTTGAACGTTAGCCCCTAGCCTACAGAGACAAACCGTCACAGGTTAGTAGTCCGTCTAAAAGATAAAATTCTTATAAATACACCAGTCGCACCTAATTGTTACTAGTGCGCTCGCAAATTCGCGCCCGCTTCATTAATATATTAACCGATACAACTTACGAGTACATACAAAGAACTTTTCCATTTTAAAGTTATCCAAAAATCATACAATCATCACAAGTTGACATTAAAAATGGCTCCCGGAGTCATCCAGAACTCGGAAACTATCATCAACAACTCTTTGGAAGTCATCGCGGCTGACAATGGGGCTTTTATGAACCAATTGTTGGTGCAACCCAAAACTTGCCCCATCGACCATTTTGATTTCCCCGAAAACGGGACAGGAGATGGTCAGGTGAAGATTGAGGAGGTGAAAGAGGTGAAGAAGCCGGTCCGTAGGGTCGTAAGACCTAAGGTGCTGAAGAACCACGAGTCCCACGATTACCTGTACGATCGTCTCTACGAAGACACTTGCCCAAGAGTTGTGAGTACCTTTTTTTAACGGAATACAAAGTGTGACAAATTCAGATGTCCCCTGTCTGATCTGAAGAGAAGTGATTTGGGAGTGCTCAAACGTAAAATTTTTGGAATTGAACCAAATTCAAAATATCAAAAAACAACAAATCTCTATTATTATTAATAGTTAAAACGTGTAATGAATACCAATATCATCCTCTTTTGATTCAGGCAAAGTATTTTACATAGCATAGGTATAATAGAAAAGTGCTTAAGTTTAATTACATTAATTATTAAATGAAAATAAAAATAAAAATACGATGTTATCGTCAAAAATAATTTATTGATATTTTGTACAAACTAAAGACACTTAATTTTTTTGAAGATACCTCATACTAAAAAATCCTTCGAACTATGTTTCAAATGTTTGTGTCAATACATAATTTAAAATCTTAACTAGCGTATATTATGAGTAATAAATAAATGAGACACAATACATGTAAATAGACAGATAATCTCGTGTTTGTTTTACTTTGTGATCACAATATAACTTTGTAAGCACGCGCCCACTAAGTAAATAATGAACGTAGATATAAATTACCTGGTTGTGATAAAGAAACATGATAAATAACGGTTCTTTTTTGAGTCCATGAGTGTAATTTTCTGATATGATTTTCTAATAAACATTTATGACTATGACTATGACTAAATAGTTAGGGAGGCGAATAGGGGAATTTTCGGCAATACTCGAGCGTGGCAGTTTAAGCTAGGAGAGATACCTTAGACCTAATAGAACAACCTTGTAAAGTATTTAGCTCTATATGTAGTGACGCGCGCCTAGGATAGACAATCAGATTAGTAAAAAAAAATGGATACCTAGTCTGAAATACTCGAGCGCGTCAGATTAACATATTGGGGGTTGATTTTAGTGTTTAAAGACTAAATTTAACTAATCTGACGATAAGTCCTTGACGCCGCCGAGTTATAGGGTCGCGAACTTGTAAAAAAAAAAACGTTAATCCCGCATTCTCGAGCGCGACTTTTTTATTTTTATTTTGAAGAATATAATCTAAAACTTACTAAAAATACAAAATCTGCCGGTTTCCGCATGACCGGAAGTGTGGAGAAGCTATTTCGTCTTCCTAAGAACGCGTTACGGCATATAAGTCGCGAACGATACATTTTACAAAAAAAAGTTTAAATGAACATTTTCGTTGGTTGTATCTATCGCTTTATTGACATTCTTAAATTCCCCATTTTATCAAGGAGAAAGAAAGGAAAAAAAAGAAACCAAAAATCCTTTTTCGGTCAGATTAAGAGAACCCACCAACATTTTTGTCAGATTAAAAAAATATGCTTTCAGGATACCAAGATAAACCTCCCCTATGAAAATCTGACGCGCTCGAGTATTTCAAAAAAACTTTTTTTTTGCATTTTCAAAAATTCATCGTAACTTATCGTCACGCCGAAATTGTCAGTTTTTTTAAAGGGAGCTTCCTTGGGGCCTACTTAACACCCCTTCCGAAAATCTGACGCGCTCGAGTAATTTTTTTTTTTCATTTTTGACTACTTTATATGCCTACCCCCACCACGCAAACCGGCAGATTAGTACACCGTTGTTATCAGAGGCACTCGGGGCATACGTAGTATGAATATCTGACGCGCTCGAGAATGCCCAAAGTAACTGTTTTTTTAAACATTTTTGAAAAACCGTACACGCCAAACCCACCGCTAAAATGGTTTTTGCCATACGAGCTTTTCTTTTCGAAATTATTTTATCTTTCGATTTTGATAGGTCTCGACGGCGCCGTTGAATTAGATACGCCATTTAGGTACCTCGCCTCCCTAACTATTATAATAACTTTGGCAGGCAATATTGTAATAGGCAGTTATTGTATTTTTAAAACGGTAATGTAATAAACTGAAGTACTGAAACTGTGATGCTAAGCTAAGATTTGTTGATATATTCTTAGTAGGTGGAGGTACTATTAATTATTTTTGATAGACTAGCTCTATCCTGAAAATAATACTATAGTTTGCTTAAAAAGATATTATCTGTGAAATGCAAATACTTGTAGACAAATGATGAAGCTACGGAGATCGTGATCGCTTCGCTGCTTCATCGTTTTGAGTACAGTACAAAAGATTGTATATCAATTCCTTCACTAATTCAGTACTGTCCTCCATTATTTTCGTTCCACCGTTGTCACAACAAAAGATACTCCCTTTCACATCCAGCGCGCGGAATCCGTGTAGTATTTACTTAACACTGATATCACTCCGGCGTTTCTGATTTTATTGCTTGCGATTTGGTGCGTTCCGAACGTCTATGTGTTTACACAGGTCCCGAGGAGCGAGGAAAAACAAAAGATTCGTTTGCTTTGTCACGAGTCATTAAGGTGGCAACACTGTCGGTTATTGTCACGAAGCGATGGGCGATTGTTTCATAACACACGGTAGTTATTGTTTGGACAAATGGGGTGACTCGAAATTTTGATTTTTTATAGGAAAAGGTATGCGTTAAAAAGTACCTACCTAATCGTATTAAAAGTAACGAGACTATTTCCACCGCTGCAACTCCTGTGTAGCCAGGATCTACAGCTTAACTGCCAATAACCCAACCAGTGAAGGTCAAGTGTGAAAACAACTAGATGTTATGTGACCTCTAAAAACGAGACCATATTATGGTTCGCACTGTAAAAAGTTATGAGATCTCATTACGCTTGTAGAGTTAGGGACGTCCCTAACTCTACAACCCCTTACTTCACAAACTCTACACCTGAACCAAAATATGTGGATTGGCCGATTTGCTACAGTCATACGCATAATTAATGTGAAAAATAAGTAACGACAGGCACAAGTTGGTAATGTTACTCTGAAAATTTGATATTCTTTGCCATAATTATATAACCGTTAACCGGCGGTTAAAAAACGTAATCAATTTCATTTATAACGCATAAAGCGTACAAACGTATCCCCAATTCGTACGTGTCCCAGTTAAGGTACGTTTTGTCTGCCCAAGTCCGCGTGACGTCGTCACCCCGCCCACGGCGTCGCATTCACAACCCGCTCCAATATTTATTTCGCATTATTCTCTACGACAGAGGTTCTTAAACTTATTTCATTTACAGCGCACTTTGAAAAACAATATTTTCAGTGCCCGCGCCTCCCAATTTTACCAGATCTTAGACATGAAGTAAACAATCGACTAGCTTAATACATTTAGCTAGGGTTGAATTAATGAATTTTATAAAATTACAATTTTCCCTAAACTACTACAACACATTTTGCTGGGCTTCTTAATGGCCCCTCTCCAGGGCTTTATTACCGCCCCCTTATCGAGCTCTAGCGCCCACAAGGGGGCATTGTCGCCCACTTTGAGAAACACTAGTCTACAGCAACTCGCAGTGAAAGCGCCCCGGGCCGCGCAAACTTAGCGGAACTTCGCTACATGTGGCATTGTAGGGTTTTTTAGGATCCAACGGTCCCAACGAATCCATGGCTTTATTTTTAAGCTTTGGGTCTTACTTTATATTTTTAATCGAACGTTTTGATTTGTATTTCACATGGTGCTCTACCATAAAACTTGACGTAGAAACGTCTTGCACGACAATCCTTAGAACGGAAGTTCGCTGTAAGGCGTTGTAAGAAGATGATGAAAATATATGACTTTACTTTACCCACGTATTCATTATTTATATCAAAACTTAATAAATACTTAATATGAAACAATAATTAAACTGTGCTTCCATTATAATCTTACAAAGATGCACAAACTACCTCATTTCAGCAAGTAGTACTTCAATTGAGGAGTTAAACGAAGATTAGGTCCAACCCACTTACAAAACAGGGCGTGAAGTGATACGCAGTCTCTGTCGCAGAAGGCATTTTGCGATCTTGGCGTTTATTCTTAAGACGATATTTTTTACCTACCAAATTAGTCAATTATTTACAAAATATTACCTCATGCCATGTTATTATCTTTCAACTTTGATAGGTTCAAAGTTTTTTTTTGTCAGCCCAATCTTTATTTTATCCGATTAATAAACTACACTACATTTAAAAAATAAAATATAAACGTAACCAACCTCATTAATATAAAAACAAATTAACGCATTAACACTACGCAAAAGTTTTTATTCCGAAACATGGAACACTGGCTGGTTGTAACAGAGCTTACGGGCGACGCGAAAAAAAAGAAAAACAACGTGTCTATTTTTGTTCCATTTTGGCGCCAGTTCGTTTGTTAACAATTTGTGGAACAATGTGAGTGCTGAGACAATGTTTTCTTTTACCTTCGATAAAATATTTTGCGGTAACTATTTGTTTTGGGTTTAATGGATAGTTGTGTCTGGATGTCCGGCGATTGTCGATTTACTGAAAATAGACAAGAGACATTGTCCTCTATGAAAAATATTACAATCATGTTAGGTATACTAGGTATTTTTAACAAACTTATTTACTTAGACGAGATGTGAATCTATAGGTACTCTTAAAAGCTGAATAGTTTGTTTGGTTGAATGCGCTAATTTCAGGAACTACTGGTACGATTTGAAAAAGAAATGTGTTGGATAGTCATTTATTTAGGAAGGTTATACTACCATAACGCAACGACCAATAGAACCAGTGCATCAATGAAAAATGTTACGAAAAGCGGACGTGTGCGTGTGAAAATAGTTTGAATACTTTCACGCGTACAGCTAGTATTATAAACATGGAGAAATATAAGTTTTAGATTTGTTACAGATTTGGCAGCTGGTTCATTGTAGGCTTATACTGAATCAAATTTACATTTTACGCATTGCAATCCATAATAAACACATTGGGCTCAGGTAGCAGCTGTTTACGATTGTTTTATTGAGTTCGCACGAACACTGTGTCGCATGCAAATAGCATTAATCTACATTCGAAAGTAAAATATTCTTGAGATTGTTTTGGTATTATATGTTTTCTGTGATTTATGAAAGCTGCTATTTTTTATGCCCTTTCAGTTAGTAATTAAAATACAGATACTCATAAAGTCATTATTTCATGTCACTCAATTTAAATAAATATGTTAAAGTAACTATAGATCTGTGGCTTATGTGGCATTCATTAAATAGTACCCAAGTGTTTTAAAGATTTTTTACCATGGAATGATGTTAAGTTAATTGGTTAATGATGTTAATTAGTTCAGTCATAAACATATTTTTACTAATAATAACATTTTGTCCTCAGCCAACGCTATGCAACGAGCGGGCCTGCCTCGGCAGCCTCATGGCTATTCCCGGGCGGGGCGAGGAGCCGCGAGACCCCGAAGAAGTGCTGAACGACGCCAAGGACTTCTTTGGGCAATACTTCGCTTCGATCAGAAGGTAGGCTGATTAGTTTTATTCCTTTCCATGTAATAAAATGAAGAAAAAAACACTAGGTTCGTAATCCTGAGGGAGTGTTCCGACAGAAGTATTTCTTCGAGCAATACATACTTCTGAGAAGAGGTTGTATGGTTATATTCCTTTGCACGATGTAGGTAAAAAGAAAAAAAAAAGCTTTCTATTCTATGCCCTGAAAAATTTTTGAATGTGACGCCATAGACTTCTTTAGGCAATACTTTCCTTCCATCAGAAGATAGGTATGGATTATTTGCATAAAACAAACACAAAACAATACAAACAATGGACCCATCTGCTTTAACATTGTACGAAAATAGTCATTGGTTACGAATTAATTAAAATTAGAAGTATAACACCGAACATGCTTAAAATGCGAGATTCAAGGATTTTCGAAACCAGAATAATGAGTTACTTGAGATTAAATTATCATATTCACGCTAAAATCAGTGAATTATTTTTAAATTTTGAAGTTTTGGATACAATTTATTGATTGACTTTAAATAGCGTATATTTATATTCTTTTAGAGTTTGTATTGTTATACCTAATTATGATTACATAATCGATATTTTCATAATGATCCAATTACTTATCAGCGTTCTGCATACTTAATTTGAATTCGTGCAGTTGGTATCAATGCCGAAATAATATATTTGATTAATATATCAACCCGATCTGGCTTTGCATGGATAATGAATTAATTATTTGAATAGTTAATTTTAATTCTAATGGAAACTGCATTAATATAAATCATATTAGCTATTCATATTATACTACATAATATGTACGATGTACTAACATCGTTAGAAAATCCTTACATCTTTTGATCCGAATCCAAGTATTTTTGTTCGAAATTTTTACACGTCCTGCGAGCAGACTAAACACATGATCCTACTATAATATTGTCACCCTGTATTACTGTGTTTTTGGCAAATAAACGTTTGAACTTGAACTTAAAGAAGAAAAATTTGAAGCGACAATAGCACAACCATAGCACAACGGTGTAACGGTCATTCGATTTGGTAGTTCGGTTCGTGGGACTATTAAATTGTCACCTATTGTGGTGAACAATAATTCTCTAACACTAGAATAATGTTGGCTTAGGTTTAGGACTTAACGGGAATATAACGGGTAATTTGTATCTTTACTTATCCTTAATTAATTTTCATGGTTACGGTTCGGTAAGGCGCTATTTTCTTTGAAGTTATATTTTGCTATTTTTTTTATGTTAAGGTCTAAGTTTAGCCCATAATGTTAAGAACAAATGAATACAAAAAGTTGTGTTTAAATACAGAGCCAACACGCCCGCGCACGAAGCTCGCTGGAAGTTAGTCCAAGATGAAGTGGCTCGGACTGGCACGTACCAGCTCACTACCACCGAGCTGGTCTTCGGAGCCAAGCTGGCATGGAGGAACGCCAGCCGCTGTATAGGAAGGATACAATGGTCCAAGCTTCAGGTATGTTGGGATTTTGTAGGTCATCTATCATATCTAGTTCAATGCTGTGGCGCCATGTGATGGTTTTATAGGTGTGATTGTGGAATAAAAGTGTACCTATGTTCCTAGGTATACTGTACCAGTATTGGTACTTGGCACAGATCGCTGAAATAATCTACGAGAGACTTTTCCCAGCAGTGGACAAAACACCTCTATTTATGTCATAGAAGAAAATACAAAAAGAAGTTGCAAACATGAACAAGGGACTACGCAGATTTTAATACACTCGTATTAAAAACCAGCACTTTTATTAATTTATTGATTTATTTCAAGTTCTAAGGAATAGTCGACAAGTGTAATTTCATCATTGGACTTTTTTCATTCATTTATTCAACAGTCTGACGGTCCAATCAGAACATTCCAGTATGTTATCGTTCCAATACATTTTCCACGGTCATACTTAAAGTTTTACCTCTGAATGAACATTCAAAGGAGCCTGCACAAGACGTGACGATGAAAGAGTAAACAAGCTGTAAAAATGAAACTGCGGTCCATTGATAAAAGGAAATCGCCGACTGAAATCAATTAACTCGTTTTGCTACTAGTTAAGTGGTTGGCGGAGATGAAAACGAACTAAATAAATTTGCCGGCACTGATGAGAAAAGCCTCGTTTTGTTTTACAATTGAGTAAATTCTCGACCTTTCAATGGAGTTTACTAATTTTGTTACTTTTTTCGCGAGAACATAAAATACAGTAATAGAACACAATGAAGTAACTGGTTTTTTGATACAAAAATAATAATTTAAGTACAGAAGACGACTCTAGGACTCTAGGTACGCAAATTCGATTAGGCACAAATTGTTACATACTATGTTACATGCTACATACTTAAATTACAATAATTGTACAGAAGTATCGATCAGCAAATCAATGTTTTTCTCGATAGTAGGTAAATAATAGTAATAATGCAATTTCAATTAAAACATAATTAGGTTGAATGGCTTCGTATAGATTTGTTAGGCTGATGACGTACTATGCAATGAGTTTGTCAAAAGGGCTGACAAAACAAGATTGCTGATGCTTAGAAACTGCGCAAATAACGTTTTGTTGGATGCGACAATACCAAGAGATAAGTTTAGGGATTAGGCTTATGTGCGTAATATTCTTATAATTAGCCATTTTTAAAAATATAATTATTGCCTAATATGTAATTTTTATTCAAACACAGATTTGATACATGATTCATGTCAAAGATCCATGAAATAACATGTGAGTAGGTAATATTTTCACACAGTCAATGGGCCTATTGGGTGCCTATTACTAACGTAGCTACTGAATAATATAGAGCGCTATTCTTTCCAATTTCTTTGTAGTCAAAGCGCTTTTGTATCGCGTGAATCAAATTTGCCCGCGAGAAGGAATTTCCTAAATATTTATTTTTATTTACTAGGTACTACTGTAACATGTACCGGGAAATGTATCTTTGAACCGCTAAATATTAATTGTATACTGATTATACACGAATTATTATAAACTTTGTTATTAACAGTGATTTAAATACTTCCATAACATAAACAAAAGTGTTCAGAAGGCTTTTTTAGCTCTAATAGAAAAAAAGCAAAGTTTTAAACAAGACTCAGTATTTATCATATTTTTACATTTACACAGTTCATGCAATTAGTCATAGAAGTAAACGCCTTTGAAGTTTATTTACAAGTCATAAAAATGTGTTTACCAAAAGGGGTATGTACCGCAGCAACTTACCCAGTACGTCTAATTTTATGTTTTTCACGTGACATCTGTACCAAAAGTTTACTTTTTAATTTCGTCATAAGCGGCTTGAGGTCATGCTTTGGATGTTTGTTGATATGGACTTATTTTAAACGATTTGTGTTTGTTTGGGTTTGGGGGAGGCCTATGTTCAGCAGTGGACGTCCTGTGGCTGAAATGATGATATGATGATGTGTTTGTTTACAAAGTACAATTTCAGTATAATGTGAATAAAATAATGTATTGGTACTCACTGTTTCATCAACTAAATACAAAACCATCAATCCATCAATGGGATTAGATATTTTACTAATTACGCCGCCGAATCGAATGATGGAGCTTTGGCAGACTGACGTCACTGATTCATTTATCCGCTCGTTTCCATTCAGTTTCCTGCGTCGCGAGGCAGACCGACTTAAGGCACATTACCAGTTCTGTATTACGTGTCGCAAAGACGACTGATAGAGACTTAATTTTTCATTGCGCATACCTATCGCACAAAACTGACAGAAAAACTACTAATATTTATTTTAAGCTTAAAAAAAGCTAAGAAGCTCTTAGCCTGTTCCAGGCAAATCTCCCCCTGGGTGGGACAGTTGTTTGAAATAAAAAGGAAAGGACAGAGTTAGAAGAGCTATTAAAAGTATTCAATAATTGCAGATTTGACTTTGTAATACAGATGCATCAAATCACAGTCGTAAACTAAAATGTGGAGTTTGAGACTGAGGTTATTGGTATTGCCTGTAATGTAGCATAAAAAATAATAAAAATAATATCAGTCCTATGAAAACTGTCACACGGCCAAAAGCGATCGCTTTCCGAAATAGGAGCCAGTCTTTACGGTTGATGGTCGGGGATGTTCGCGAATAAACTTAGTAATTACGCGGCTTTTCCAGATTGCTTCAGTTAAACGAAATTGGATCAACTATTTGGAGGTTTAAAAACCGATTTATTGCAGTGTTTAAAAGCCGGTTCTAGTCTTTTTGACATTTCCTATACAATGTGAATGGACTTGGTGAACATTATTTTTACGATTTTACTTGACAGTAGGTTACAATAACTTAAATTAAATAGGAAAACTATTATAAAAGGTAATCAATTTAATAAGTAAAAAAAAATCACACGTATTTAATTGTTTTCCATTTCCATTCTAGCCATTACAAAATCAATGTAATGGCTAGAAAAACTAAAACTTGTTCAATTTGTTTATTCTGTGTAAATGCCCTGTCCCAAATAAACCCTCCCTGATAGGGGTTAAGTGAACGGTGCGTTTCGTTAAGTAGTGGCTCGTTTCGACAGTGAGCGATGACGTCACTCGGAGACGATCACCTCTTCAGTTGTAGAGCGAACCTGTTTACTGATAAAGTGATAAGGTGATACGAATTATTGGGGTTCGGTAACTTTGAAAGATCTTTATAAAACATACTATCGTTTCTGAACCTTGAGACATTTCAATAGAGTTGATTTACGAGCCGATTCAGCCGATTTCAGGGTAATAAAAGCTATTGTTAAATTCTGTTATTCTGTATATTTCCGATGTTATTCACACAAGCAATTCATTTGGTAGCTTAGTCTTCCATCTTTTTTTACCCGACTGCGCCAGAAGGAGTGTTTTTTCATGTTTATTTCATTACCAAAATGCTGCGATACGGAGTTTTCAACCTTAGTATAGAAAATTCTCGATTTAATTTTACTTAACGTTACGCAAACCGCACAATACGCACGTAACACTTTGTCACCGAGTTACATCTTCACGCCTTTACAAATGCTACCAATCACTTACCTGCACATACACTAATTGAGAGCGATTCCATCCTATTTAGTCACTGGCCTACATCGCACGTTGAATCAGTGATAAAATAGGTGCTACTTCGCCTCAGTGCGGCATGGTGGAGTTAATTACATCAGGCGTTATTTTGTGGAACTTCATTTAGCGTGGTTGTACTAATTTATTGGATGATTTTATAGAATTTTGGGTTTTTAGGTCAATAGCATTGTTCTGATGATAAAACATCTGATGTTTTCAATTGCTCACCCTCAAAAGTAGATGGGACAATTTGAATGGGCAGGGTAATTTATGTATTATTAAATTCATACAAAAATAATTTCCGTTTTGTGAGTTGAAGCGCAATAAAAGGCTTGGCTTTTATTGCACTTCAACTACCAACTACCATTGAATTACCAAACTATTAAAGATAGCGCACGAGTTTTTCCTTTGCATAAAAATATTCTCATATTCTCAATTTTATTTGTCATTGACGAAATCATAAAGATGATTGCGGTACTAACCCTACTTGAGTTACCTACCGCAGACTTTCAAGCAAAGGTCAAGCGACCCCGAGAAGCTATAAGGGCACACTTCTGGCCCCAAATCTATGTTATGGAAATCCTGACGGACGAAGAGTTCACCCAATTTTCCCTAATAATATTACGAAGCGGTGAAAAAGGGGTTTTATTAAAACGATTACGGCAAGGTAGAGATGTATTTACGCGATCTTTGCATTTGTACATGACGTTTAGGAATACCTTTCTGTATTTTGGTCTGTTAGGTAGGGTGCCCGAAGGAAGTTTTGTAAGAATTAGTAGTTAAGTTGAAATCACGGCTAATTTCAAGTCCACCTACCCGGAATTAACCGTGAAATTAACCGCAATGCCAAAACGGAGCGCTAGATTGGGCTCTGTATTTTTGTTAGCATAAATCAATATGGACGCGGTACATATTCATTTAACAAATAATTTGAGCTCTGACTGGGTAAAAAGTAAAAAAGAATTTGACTCACAAAATGAAATCTTTTTCAATTTATGATGGAATCATTATCATAAAAAGATTTCCCAATGTTTTTGATTTTTTGCGTATTATTTGTCGGGTTTCAGACGTCGACGACAGAAATTAACGGCTTGTTATAACACCGTTAATTACTGAGATTGATTGGATATCAACCGTATCATTGCCGCTCAAAATGATGTGCCAAGTCGTTAATTTTTATTGGTTCAGTAACCGAGAATTTATAACTACCTATTATAGTCTTGATAATGCTGTCTAAATTCATGGCTATAAAGAGTAGGAAAAGGCATGTTATACACATAATATACCAGGTTGAGGTTCATCCCGTCATTTCGTGCAAATTCAAACCTTCCGTCGCAGATAAAAATGTTTTCGTCCGCGGAATGGCCCTTCAACGCTAGTTTATCTTTTAAGTCACATATCATTATATGTTAAAAAGCCTATTTTCAAGAGCGAAAATACTCAAAATGACTCCTTCCTTTTCAGGTATTCGACTGCAGACAAGTGACTACGACCAGCGGGATGTTCGAAGCTCTCTGCAACCACATCAAATACAGCACAAATAAAGGAAACATCAGGTCCGACATACAAACTGAACTTTAATATGCATGCTGTTTAAAGTCTAACTTTAAAGCCTTTTATATTATGTTGAAGCTTAAATTGAAATATTTTGACTAGAAAAAATCTTTTCGAGCATGAGTTCATAAAGCTGAAATGCGTTTCGTTTATAAAGAGTTTCAGTCAAATTTTGTTCTACTGAAATTTAACTCTTTTGAAAATATTATTATTTGTTTAATGTCCAACTTTATCAAAATAGGAAATGGTTTTAATCACAGAGTGATTTGATGCAATTCTAAATCGACCCTCGGAATGACTCTCTAAAAGCTATAATCTCTTTTAGTTTTTTTTTCTTTTAAAGGGCTTACTCGATATAGGTTCTGTTTGGAGTCACCCTATTTGGCCTAAGAGAGCAGAGTATATACTTTTTCTTTGCCCACAGGTCGGCGATAACAGTGTTCCCCCAACGCACAGACGGCAAGCATGACTACAGGATATGGAACAGCCAGCTCATCAGCTACGCAGGGTACAGGCAGCCTGATGGCACCGTGCTAGGGGACCCGATGCACTGCGAGTTCACAGAGGTAGGTGAAACTTAATAACAGTAGGTACCCAGCAAACATTCGGCGAGCATGACTACAGGATATGGAACAGCCAGCTCATCAGCTACGCAAGGTACAGGCAGCCCGCTGGCACCGTGCTAGGGGACCCGATGCACTGCGAGTTCACAGAGGTAGGTCAACCTTGATAACAGTGTTCCCCCAACGCACAGACGGCAAGCATGACTATAGGATATGGAACAGCCAGCTCATCAGCTACGCAAGGTACAGGCAGCCTGACGGCACCATGCTAGGGGACCCGATGCACTGCGAGTTCACAGAGGTAGGTCAACCTTGATAACAGTATGTACCCAGAAAACAGACGGCAAGCATGACTACAGGATATGGAACAGCCAGCTCATCAGCTATGCAGGGTACAGGCAGCCCGCTGGCACCGTGCTAGGGGATCCGATGCAATGCGAGTTCACAGAGGTAGGTCAACCTTAATACATATCTCCTAGTACTCGTTTACAGACGGTAATGCAAGATAACAGAGTTCGACACGGCCAGTTCATCAAAACTAACTACTCAAGGTACATGCAGCCCGACGGCACGACACGACAGTTATCACAGGTAAAAGTAAATCTCCCAGCATACAGACGGTGCTCATGACTACGGAAGTACGGAGTATGGAACCGCCAGCTGATATACCTAATTAATGTCAACTCGAAGGTACCACGAAGGTTTTAGATACGTTTAAATCTACTATATAAAAATAAGTCGGGTTTTCATCCCTGACGCTATAACTCCAGAACGCACGAACCGATTTCCACGGTTTTGCATTCGTTGGAAAGGTCTCGGGCTCCGTGAGGTTTATAGTAAAGAAAATTCAGGAAAAATTTAAAGGGGATAAAACGGGATCCACGCGTACGAAGAGTCGCGGGCGGCCGCTAGTAACTGTATAATCATTTCATGTTTCATGTGTACCTATTTCACGATGCAAATCTGTGCCATCCCTATTTCGAATGTAAACCTTTGAAAACTATAAAGCCATTCAAACTGGATTCAGTTTTATTATTTTTGACACAATCCGTAATAAATGGCTCAAAAATATACTATAGCGGATTTATAGCGGATTTTGTGGATAAATCACTCCACGTGACGTTGCCCGACTCCACTCGCTACTATTATGTTCTCCAGCTACTGCATTTTATTATGAATAAAGTAACGCAGCTGGGTCTCGTTGACTGTGGTTTGTGATAACACAAAAGAAATGTTATTTATTCAACAGTTAATAATTACATAATCAATGTTATTATCATAAAAAGAAAAACCTTTATCACACGTGTTAGACTGAAGTTAGTAGAGTCTGCAGAACGCAACCTGACAGACAAGCTTCAGCGCAGTGATCGCCATCGCCGACGCGATCTGCACGCGTCGGTTTGGCTAAAGCTTAACTAGATCAAAATAAAAGAAGGCACACAGAAAAACCAATATGCTATCTACATACTTTTTCTTAGCGAGACAGGTACTGTTACGAGTTCCCGACATAAACATTTTACCATTCATGACTATTTGAAAAAAATGTTTCTCGACCATGATACAAGTTACTAAGGTTCATTTCGCAATTACTCTACCCAAGATGTTTCTTACAGCTCTGCATAAAGCTGGGCTGGAAGCCGCCACGCACCGCCTGGGACATCCTACCGCTAGTGCTGTCCGCCAACGGCAAAGACCCGGACTACTTCGAGATCCCGAGGGAGCTGGTCATGGAGATACACATGACGCATCCTGGGTGAGTGACCTGTTAACTTATGGGATGTCGTAGACTAGCTATTGTAGTAAGAAAATGCAATATAATATCAATTCACCTGGAACATCCTGCCACTAGAGCTATCTGCTTATGAGAAGGACCTGGACTATTTAAAGACTCACAGGGAGCGTCATGGATATACACATGACCTATCCTGGGTGAGTGATTGATTAATTTAATGTGAATATGGGATGTGGTAGACTAGCTGCTGTTTCACTGGTAGTGAAAATTGCAATGCAATACATCTGGAAGTCTGGGATAACCTACCACAAGTGCTGTCTGCCAACGGGAAGGCAAAAGACGTTTATTTTATCACGGAGTTTCCTAAACTACACCAAAAACCTTTTCATTCAAACAAAATTTTGCTTAAAAAATACGGATGGATGAATCGTTTTCAATAGCGTTTTGTATTACAATACTGTCCGCCTAACCTAGCGTATAAAGAAGTTTCTCTGTACAAAAGTTACGGTCAACCTAACATAAAAAGGTAACTCAAAAAATCTCTCGCAACACATAAACCGTAGAATAGAATCGCAACAATCGCGTTCCAAAACTTTGACTCTCCAAAAGGGTGTGTTGGAGACCTTTAGGGTGCGTCCATATACAGAATTATTTGCTACAATGTTTATCTAGGTACTTGTACGTACACACAGACTTTCCAGACCTTTAATATGTTTTTATCAGCAAAAGAGCCTTCAATCTAACCTAGTTAATCTAAATTCACTGCCTGAATATATACGCGTCTAAGAATATTTTCGTACTCGTAGCCATGTAAAAATACAAATAATGCATGGATACTCTCTACGCCAATGCGATTTCCAAGCAAAGTATTCCGATGTGGACACACCCTTACACTGCTATACTTGTGTCGACATACCAGCACCCTTCCATCACGGATTTATGCGACATAAAAAGACGGGAATGCATATTGTGAGCTGAGGTAAACGCGCGCAAATAGGCGAGTGCCCACACATGCCGACTAAATTGCTTATCGTAAAACCGTGGTCCAGTGATCTCCAATCTGCGTTTACTGCCCATAAGTCTACGGCCATTCAATAATGTATCGCTATTGATAATGTTAAAAGGCTGTAATGCGATATAAAATGCCGTGATAAGTTGTAATTGAGTGTTCGCGCCCAAGGCGATTGAGCACAATAGCTCTACCCGTTTCGGCTAAGTTGTAAAAGTAAAGTGTCGACTTAGGGTCAAGTTTTAAGATGGTCGGATATATCCGACAGTACGTTACAAAAGTTTGTTACATCGCGTAACAAACTATGTAGTTTGCGCGAACTTATGGCCTCATTAGCTGACCTTAAGCGTGTTTCGGGATTAATCTCAATTCATCTGTTTCTATTTTCCCTACCCTCTACGTCTGTGGTTCTTTAATGAACCCAATTAATCGGAATAATGTAGCTCTGGATTGTAATTTCTACTACCGATATAAAAATGAAACTTGTTTTACTATTATGAACATCACGTTTGATAAACAAAGACGTCGTTTATTGGAATTGCTGTTAAATATTTCTCAAATTGAGTAGTTGTACATAGTGCAATGTGCATACTTAGTATTACGTTTACTACTACATTATAATTACTCTCACAGATACGATTGGTTCGAAGAGCTCAACCTCCGCTGGTATGCGCTCCCAGCGGTATCCAGCATGCGCTTCGACTGCGGAGGCATCGAGTTCACGGCCAACGCCTTCAACGGCTGGTACATGAGCACCGAGATCGGGTGCAGAAACTTCTGCGACACCAACAGATTGAACGTTTTAGAGGTACGAATAAGAACTAGAACGCTTTAGGTTGAATCTCCGCTGATACGCGTTTCCTGACATCTCCATACTCCATCTCCCGATAAAATTACTAAACGAAGGCGATATTTTAAGACACCAACCCAACAGCTCAAACTTTTTGGAAGTACGATTGCGCAAAGATGATCCTCTCTTTCATATTCACGTCCAATTTTTTTTTATGATTAAGTATGTGCCAGCGCACGCATAAAAAAATACGGCAGCAATATCTTGAGCACTGAAACATTTAGCTGAATGGTGTAAATAAATTGAATACGAATGACTTACGTACATCTTGCTACATAAAGAAACGTTAGCATCTGAACTTTGTAAACTTCTTCCAATAGAAAGTGGCCCAGAAGATGGGACTGGACACAAGAACGCCAGTGAACCTGTGGAGGGACAAAGCATTAGTCGAGGTCAACGTGGCCGTCTTACACAGCTTCCAGCAGCAGAACGCTACTATCGTCGACCACCACACTGCCTCCGAGAGCTTCATCAAGCATCTGGACAATGAGAACAGGCTTAGGTAAGCACGTCTTAAGTGTACCTACTGGTATTATGTGAAGTTTCATAATATTTTTTCTATGACTCTATCTATAGTCATAGAAGACTACTCAACTCTATCTTAGAGATTTTGGACAGCAGAACTGGGTAGTTTACACCACCAATAAGTTAAATCACGTAGGTATCGTTATCTTTTTAAGAAAAAATAAAAAATCTATGCCATTAAAAAAGAAGAATGTTTGTAAAAGTTATCAAAGGTTTTCTTATTAGTTCTTGTATAGTCACAATAACTTTTTTAGCTGATTTTATTTCATTGAATTATTTTGAATGTAATTATTGGCCTAATCTATTGCTTTGGAAAAGTTCCTAATTAAAATTAAAATGACGGCTAACTTTCTTATTTTCCAATAATGAAACTTGAGATAGTTCTTCAGTTAACTTTTAAATATTTTAGGCGTGCCTAAGTTGTAAATAAAGGCGTATAAACTAGCATGCCAGTCACGGATAACAATCTCCTTAAGCATTATTTGCGATACGAATGGCTGATGGCGTAATTATTTGCAGTTTCAACTGCCGGACTGCCCGCAAATGGCTGTAAAGTTCGTCAGTGTTTATGTTATGAGCTAATTATGATAAAATAATGCCACTTATGATTTCGTATCTATAATACATCATTGTCTTGATCTGAGTTATTTTTACGTTCTCTGTCTGAATCTTAGTACTTGTTACGTATTTTACCAGGTAATAAGTTCGTCACTGTTCTAAATAGGTATTAGTGATTTCGTCATACCTTCGGTCAAAGTTATGATTAAGTCACTGTTTACCTACCTACCTACTAACTAACCCGCACAAAATATTATTATAGTCGCAATGAGTTTGGCTACTAAATTCGGCAATAGCCCAAAATTTGCCAAACATACAATCTGACTAGTTCACCCAAAGCACAGACCAGCCATTTTTGGTTGGCCAAAAGTTGGATCTATTTCCAATTTGTATGAAGAATCGGCCGATACCAAATCGGTGTAGTGTGCGCACTTCCATACATATTCATACTGATCAACCGCCCGACTCAAGTATCGGCCAACTAAAAATCGGTGGTCTGCACCTAGACAAAGACGCAATTCCGTCAAAATAGTAAACACAGATGAGAACCGCAGATAATTGCACGCAGACTCCACGTCGGGCCATTAAACCGTCGTCGGATCCTTGCGATTTGTTTTCACAAGTCGGAACATATTACACACATGCTGTGAAGGATACGCAAACACGGCCGTGTGATTGTTTTGGTCTGACGCTTCACTTGATACTTTGTCAATTTGTAGCACTAAACCATCACGTGGCTTGTAAAATATCCTTCATTTTGTGCAAGGAAGTATTGGTACTGTGAGCTCTTTGATATCATCATAAATACTGCTTGAGAGCTTATCTTAAAGCACTCCAACTATCTTTGAGATTTATTTATGTTTTACAAGTGGCTGTATATTTTATCATGATGTTTAAATTTATAGATCAAAGAATCGGAATCATGATAAGATTAAATTTCGATGATGAGATGCTGATAAACATGACTCTACACAAAATCGAAAATTCCATTTTTACCGGTTGCTTATAAATGTAGTTCCACTGTCAAAGTTTTCTTCTATTTTTGGTTTCATAGGTCTTGAATGTGCCAAAAGGTCCTATATGCGCCTACATGAGCTTCCAAAAATACGCGCGTACAGAACGCTTCCTAGAGCCCGCTTTGCACTACGTCCGATCCGAATCTTTATCAAGACATTTGTGTTATGATCAAAATGTGTAAATTATTGAAATTTTAATGGTTGTATCTTAGGTCTGGTTGCCCAGCTGACTGGATTTGGATTGTGCCTCCAATGTCTTCGTCCATAACTCCAGTCTTCCACCAAGAGATGGCGCTGTACTACTTAAGGCCGTCCTACGAATATCAGGTCAGAATCGTTACATTGTCGCCGACTTTTAATTTAATTAAGACCTAATACATTTTAATGAGCCTCTGACATTTGACAATTCTTAATTAAAGGTGCTTTTCTTTTAAAGAAAGCCCAAGTCCATTTGTAATTATAACTTTTATTTTTTAGCATAAGTAAGATAAACTAACTTTACACGTGGCTTTTCTTTACTGTTTTTACTTTGACATAAGATGTAGCACATTATTTCTCCCACCATTACCGTGGATGTTATAAGAGGTGACTAAAAAGAAATATGCGAAAACCAGGTTTTCCCAACCCGTCTGGCCAGGGTAGGCAGTCCTTCATTTGCCTCTAGTAATTAAAGAGGGTTGTTCTTCTGCAGTGGAGACTAAATGACACAAAGTGGAGACATAGTAATAGGCAGATAGTGATATAACACATTCTTTAAATTCGGGAAAGTAACTTTTTATCCAAAATCTAGGAACCAGCCTGGAAGACTCACCAGTGGCAGAAGTCGAAGCCCATCACTGGGAAGAGGCCTATCAATAGAAAGTTCCACTTCAAGCAAATCGCTCGCGCCGTCAAGTTCACCTCCAAACTCTTCGGCCGAGCCCTCTCCAAGAGGATCAAGGCCACCGTCCTATATGCTACTGAGACTGGCAAGTCGGAGCAATACGCCAAAGAGCTGGGAGTGATATTCGGACACGCCTTCAATGCTCAGGTAAGTCAAAAGGGATGCAGAGATGATGTATGATGTTAGGGATATAAATACATAGTTGATAGGAAAGAGTGATGATTGAAGGAATATTAAAGAATCTATGAAATCTTTATTCAACAAAAATATGTTAGGCTATAATGTTTATTTTTACCAACGTAGAACATTTCTTTTTATTTGCGTATTTCTTATCTTATCAAGTTTAATTTGTCTTCTTTCTCTCCATTCCCTTTATTTGAATCTTTTTATTTTGTCACTTATTTTTCTTTTCACCATTTCCTTTATTATTATTAGTAACAATCTTATTTATATCTTTTTATATTATATTTACAGGAACCCGAAAAGGAACCTGCCTTGTATTTGTGTATGTGTATTAATGATGTTAACGTTACCTGAAGGTATAAGAAAACTACTAGATGGTAATGATTTTTTATAGGTTCACTGTATGGCAGATTATGATATCACTTCAATAGAACACGAGGCTCTATTGCTTGTGGTTACCTCAACCTTTGGTAATGGAGACCCTCCAGAAAATGGCGTTGTAAGTATAACTTCAATACTTTATATTGGAGTTAGTACCTATAATAGAAAATTATGCCACATTTTCATTTCACTTTTAAGGCATTCGGCGAACACTTATGCGAGATTCTGTATACCGATCAAGTTGGAGAAGAAATGACTGGGTAAGATTGAAACTTGAATTTAATTTATGTTACGTAATACATTGTTTCTAAGGACCATTGAAAATTGTAAATCTTTTTAGGAATCAAATGCTGACACCAAAATCCTTCATAAAAGCGAACAGTCAGATGGAACTACAAAGATATGCCGCTGGCAATCCGAAAAAGTTGAGTCGGTTAGAGTCACTTAAAGGTAAAGTTCGGACATTATGAAACTTCTTACTTACAATAAATTATTTGCATGTTGATTCATTGCTGAAAGTTTTACATAATAATCTTTTATAGTAATTGAAGAAAGTCAAAGTAAAGTTACTCAGCCAATTAGGTTACAAAAGAAATAAGCAATTGGCCAAGCTTTTTCATCTTCTTTCTATAGTTTATTAAACGGAGTAAAGTAACTAGTTTTGGATTTTTATATTAATATCGCTGAAAGAAAAGTTTCAACTTGATTTAAGTTATCACTAATGACTATTTCAAATAATAGCTGTTATACAATTCACTATATAAAACAGTTTATTTTTATTTTTGTAGGCAGTGCTACAGACGCGACCTCCATAGACAGTTTTGGACCCCTCAGCAACGTTCGCTTCGCGGTGTTCGCTCTTGGGTCCAGTGCGTATCCCAACTTCTGCAACTTTGGGAAATACGTGGACAAACTGCTGGGAGACTTGGGAGGCGAGAGAATCCACGATATCGCCACTGGAGATGAGATGTGTGGGCAGGATCAAGCCTTTAGGAAGTGGGCTTCGAGTGTCTTCAATGTGAGTTGTAGATTAATTTTCAGTTCTGCTATTGCTAGCTAATACAATTTACTAAAGTAAAATTTTGATATTTATTTAAAAGAAAGAGTAGACGAACACAGGCTTAAGCAATCAATTTAGACGAACTATGAGTATAAAGCAAGCTGTAAAGCCCATAATCGTATTTTATCCAAAAACTTTTACCCAAATTGTATCACGGAGAAACGCGCTTTATTACATTTTAGTAGGTACTGTTCACGCTAATCAATCAGAATCCCAAGCCCGAAATGGAACTCGATTGTACAAAGTTTATTGTGCTTAATTGAAGCAGGTTTTATTTGATTATTCTTGGGGAAATTAGGTTTGGTTTTTGAAAAGGTTTTCTTTTAGGTGGCGTGTGAGACGTTTTGCTTGGACGATGATGAGACGTTGCAAGAGGCGAAGAGGGCTTTGGGGACAGTTGCTCTTAGTGAGGAGACAGTGAGGTTTGCTCACGCGGTCGGGCGACCGCCGACCCTCCCCGCGGCCTTGCAATCCGCTCTGAATAAACAGTTCGTGACTTGCATAGTGAGAGCCAACAAGGACTTAGGCGACGCTTCCGCAGAAAGGTCCACGATTTTTATCGACATGGAGCCCAAGGTAATGAAAATGTGAATGTAGTAATGAACTTAGGTATTTTTAAGAGAGTTTTTCCTGGTTCTTTTCATAGAATGTATTTAAAAATAGTTATTAGCAACTCAGAGATAATTAAAATCTATTTGTAAAATTTGTAGGATGAAATAAAATACGACCCCGGTGATCACGTAGGAATTATAGCTTGCAACCGCAAGGAACTAGTGGACGGTTTGCTCGCTCGTCTACAAGACGTTGAGGACTTTGACGAGCCGTTACAATTACAGCTGATGAAAGAAACGCACACATCCAGCGGTAAGTTGTCTCTTTTACACGCGAGAGTTTCGTCTAGATCTACACTCGTAAAGAATTTACAACCGGCATTATGGATGTTGACGTTGTAAAAGTGAGGCTTATTTTTCACAACGTGTCACAAATGTTATTTTTACACCCACCTTTATCATACTCATCATAAATCGATGAGTCGGTAATATTCATTCCCTTCATGTTTATATTTCTGTCCGTAACTTCTTTTATGAACTTACGTGTATAGCCGATAAATATCCCATTGAAGGTTGTAGACAGATATTAAACAAATACATACTTAACTGCTTCCTTTTCACGTATATTATCTATTAAAAGGTCCGGTGAAATCCTGGGAGCCTCATGAAAGACTTCCCGTGCTAAGTGTCCGTGATCTCTTCACGCGATTCTTGGACATCACTACTCCACCAACGACTATACTGCTGCAATATCTGGCCAAGACCTGTGAAGACGAAGAAGAAAGAAAGCAGTTGAGCATTTTGGCTACGGTATGTTCCATTCAAAAAAACTAGACTTATGTATTCATATCAGTTAATAAGGTAGTACAAACTTGTTGCAATTAAGAACACTCAGGACAGTAGCTTGGCAAACACTTCAAATACATTATAAAGTTACAACGATAGATATAATTTATGATCTAATCAACTAAAGCATACTCACAATTCAACGATTGATTATATTATTACGGACTTGTATTTTAGGATCCCGGTGCATATGAAGACTGGCGTCACTTCCACTTCCCAACGTTACCAGAAGTTCTAGATCAGTTCCAATCAGCTAGGCCAAGCGCTTCTCTGATTGCCGCTCTACTATCGCCACTCCAGCCAAGATTTTATTCCATCTCCTCATCACCAATTGCTCATCCTAAGAGACTGCATTTGACGGTTGCGGTTGTCACATACAGAACTCAAGGTAAGAAAACAAAACAACTTTAGTGCCATTATTTTCTATTTTTATACTCCACTCATCAATCATGCATAATCTATTGTTGACTTTCCAAGCAAAATTACAGTTCACCCGAAATTACGCTAATGTATCACAGTTTATTATCGTAAAGTCCCACGTACGCTTTGTTGATATCATGAATTCCGAAGAAAATTACGAGAATCTATTTCTGATTCCATCGACGGTTATTGTACACAATCTGAAATTTGACGACTATTAATAACGTAAACGAACAATAGATCACTTTTATATCTGGGTTACACGATTAAATGATGTCATGTCCAAACAGATGGCGAAGGTCCTGTCCACTACGGCGTTTGCTCAAATTATCTCATGGATCGTAAACCGGGAGATGAGGTTTACTTGTTTATTAGAAGGTACACAACGTTAACATCAATAGCTGTGTATGCGTTAAACACTTCGGCTTTTAGTGGAATAATTGTGGTCGCTTCACTCTTGAGAAGAGTCTCAAAACATGATTGCTTACTATCATATACAAAATTGTTTTGTTTATTAATTGACTGCCTACTAAGTACGATAATTTCAAGCTTATCTTTTTTGAACAGTAAGAAATCGATCAAGCAGTTACGGAGACCAGTTAAAATTGAAATTGTTCTGATGCTCTAATCTTTTTTAGTGCTCCAAACTTCCATTTGCCTCAAGACCTATCAGTTCCCCTGATACTGATAGGCCCGGGAACAGGCATTGCACCCTTCAGAGGTTTTTGGCATCACCGCAGAGCCATGCTGAACTCACGTTCTCGACAGAACGCTGGACCAGTTTGGTTATTTTTTGGATGCAGGACTAAGACCATGGACTTGTACAGGGAAGAAAAGGAACAGGCCCTCAAAGAAGGTGTACTGTCGAAAGTGTTCCTTGCTTTGTCCAGGGAGAAGTGCGTTCCAAAGGTGAGATTCTATTTCAGGAGTTTTTGGTTCTCTAAATGTCCTTTCTAAAATAATTCTAGGCTTTTTCAAAACTTGGACAGAACTTTAACTGAAAATTTTTCAGATGTATGTGCAAGAAGTTGCTGAGAAGGAGGGCCAAGAAATCCACGACTTGTTGATAAACCGTGGAGCCCACTTTTACGTGTGCGGCGACTGCAAAATGGCTGAGGATGTCCACCAGAAGTTGAAAGGCATCATCAAGAAGCACGGAAATATGACTGATGATCAAGTGCAGAACTTTATGTTTATGCTAAAGGTGAGTTTGTGATCGGTGTTTTTTCAAAATATGGATGTTGACTTAAATTGATTGGTTGCTATTTCAGATTTCTTTACAACTAATAATTTCATACTGCTGAATATGGTTTTTAAACACTTTTTGGTGTCTATGTCTATTTAAATTCTCGTTTGACTAATACACTTCCACTTTCCAACATAGGAAGAGAACCGCTACCACGAAGATATCTTTGGCATAACCCTCCGTACCGCCGAAGTTCACAACGCGTCCCGCGAGTCGGCGCGCCGCAACCGCGTGGCGGCGCAGCCCTGACGCCGGTCCTCCAGGGTCCCCCTCGCGCTTATGTAGCCAGTAAGTGCACCCACAGATCAGCTGATGACGACAATTTGCAAACAGAAACCACCACTGATAATAACGATGATTCAACCCCAACAGATCAACGGATAACTGACAATGATTAAAATTTGATGATGATTGAAACAGGCTAGATACTAACGACAAATTACAAGAGGAAACCAATGATTTACAAAACGAAATCATTGCTGACAATGATAATGTCCATAAGAAAGAAGCTGACTGTTCAATTAACAAACCATTTGACCAAGATGTTATCTGAAGTAATTAACCAAAATACTATCACACTGATGGTAATGTTACTGCTAACTACCTAACTAAAATACATTTCTAACCACAAGTCCTTTATCTGATTAGTAATTGATGTATTAATGGTCTATGAAAACTGTTTTAAAAGTAATAGAACAAATTCTGCAATGTAATAGCAACAGATATTCAAAGTTATCGTTCAGCCAAGAATGCTATTAAACAGAATGCAGATGATGCTAATTAATGTACTGGAAGCATCCTTGCTGAATACCGTTGGTCAGTTGGTACATTAAATGTTTTAGAGCTAATAATGTCTGCATCATTTACTACATTGCTTCATAACTGCCGAAAATTTCGGCCCCGAATCATTAGGATTTGGTATTGGAAATTTGGCGGTTTGGCCTAGAATCTCCTACGATTTGGAATTCAAAGTTCACGAGAATTTTTCCACGGATCTCATAATTTTTGGCTTTAAATTTTTAATTTGGCGGGTCGTTCTTTAGATAAGTCAATTATCTAATTTGTTTAAGCTTCACGGGCCAAATGAATGATACAGAGGTTGTGCGTAATGTGGGTCCTGATATTGTACATAGTACTGAACTCTGACAACCTCACTACAGTTACTATAAACATTCCTTTAGAGTATTTTTATTTTTTTAATAAAGTCTTCAAGAGCAGCTATTTAAACTATTTAGAGATTTATTTTAAAAGGATTTGAAGCAGGGTGAATTTATATTGATAACGCACAAATGCATTTCAGCGTATTGGTAAATTTTTCTCCAACAGCTTCTTAAATATTATGCATAAATAAACGAAAAAAGAAAATATAAGAATTTACCGCTTACATAATATTTGATAGAATTGAATTAGGTGTAATTTTATTCCATTTAAATTACTTACTATTTACTATTACAAAATGAATATGAAAAAATCATCGATGTCATTCTATGAAATTGAATATTGTCCACTTTAATATATATAAATATATTAGAATAATTATAATTTTGTTAGGCTTTATGGATTGTAACAGAATTGCTATTTATAATTGAATGATCAAACGAACTTACCAAGTGAAGTTCGATCTAAATTATCCTGTTTTCGCCGAAGAGATTTATTTTACCATGTAGTACCCCTGTACGACAACCCAATCCGCACACAATATTCAGCGTAGTAGTATTAAAAAACAAAAGAGCGGGCAACCCCATCCCTACCACGCTGTGGGCTCGGTGTCCGAGCGGTCTCATTTCTACCTCTAATGGGCCAGTCAATTTAGGGTTACTTTTATTACAATTGTTCACAAAACGCAACAAATAGGCATAAGTTCTTTTCAAATGCATGTAACTTGAATACTTTTCAAATTGTATAAAATTTTCAAAACCAGTTTGAGTCCCTACCAGACATTGGAGAGACTTAGGTACTTTATTTNTCGGAGGCGAAAGCAGGATAATTTTAGTATGAAGCATTTTATTCTTTTATTATATTGGTAAATACAACGACGAAGTTTTGTGTGAAAATATTTATCATTGCCAAATCTTGTACAGAATGCGGTATAGTTAGGTTATTTTGTGCTATTGTAAATAAAATTTAATTCTAAGTTACCTACTTTATTGCATAATCTATGAATTAAGTATTTTCTGTTATATGCTAACATTTTATCATTACGTGTTGTATATTCCTCAAATTATTGATCTTGTTATTTATTATTAGTTGTTATTCATGTTCATTGACATATTTATCATTAAAATGTATAAAATTCCTTAAAAATAATTTATATTCCACAATATAAACTATTTTATTTTTGTGACTTTTACTAAAGCAAATTTTTAGTAGCGTGAGTGTGAATTTGTGATTGTATTTAATAGCTATAAGAAATGTATCCATATTTTCTATTATTCATGTTACAAGAATTTACTATACAAGAGTCTTTTCTGATACATAATATTTATATAATATTAATATTATATCATACATTTAATAACTGTCTTTACCGAATATTTACAAACTTAAAATTATGGTCTTTCATATCTTCTAAATTTAATCGAATGCACACTTTGTGATTTAAAAATAATATAACTTATTATGGAATTCATATCACGCAAAATATAATTAAGTAACTACGCACCATTTCATCTTAACGAAAACTGTTTGAAATGTTTATGGAAAAGCATATAAAATTGGATTAACATTTGTCGGTTAATGATCAAATAAAGTTCCTTCATATTCGAAAATGAACTAAAAGTATTTTACTTATAATATATCCTAACTACCTAAGTCAGATTACTCTCCTGTCCCCTTTGGTGAAAACTGGGCCTTATGGTCCGTTTTTGAGTTTAGCAATAAAATGCGTTATTCTTTCTAATAAAAGCTTATTAAAATTAATTATCATTATGAAAAATTGTGAAAGAAAGTAAATGCCACCAAAGTCCAAACCAACAAAGAAGCAACACTGTATAAGTTTTGCTAAGTTAGCAATCCTTTCTTTCATAATTGTAACATACCACGGTTGTCGATCATCTTTCGATTTAACTCTCGATGTTTTTCTCGATATCGACTGAAGGTGCTCGGAATACATCAATTGGTGACAGATGGAACGAAATATATTTTGTGCAGATAGACTGATTACTTACGTACCGCTATATCACTTCGACTCGCTCGTACGAAATGATGTGTCATGCTAATGACATGTCTACCAAACTTTCTTGGGTAAGTATGTTTGTACGACTATGTAATAATAGTAAATTATTTAGTGAGCCTTTTTTCCTGTTTGTCACACTACTACTTACTTAGTAGAAAACTGTTTTTCCTGACGTAACGTAGTGCCCAAACTTCTGCTACAGCTCGTAGCAGCTATTTGGAAAAGGTAAAGAAAAATAATTGTACTGCCCCTGTATATTAATTTTTACTCTTGTTACTGTGTATGGTGTACAATAAAGTGTATTTTTTTAAAGAAATAATTTAGGGGTATCCATAATATAGCACCTAAATAATTATAATGATATTTCTATCACAGCTGCCATGGCTCTAGTAGGTACGTAGGTAATACTGGTTAAAGTAACGCACAAAGGTAAGTACGATTACCTACATAATATTGAATAAGTACTTAAAAACTTCCGCAGCTTTGAGTGCAAAGGCTTTTAGTGCTCATCACAACTACCTACATTGAATTAAATGATGACAAAAACTGTCAGGTAAGCGTTACATTACAATTTTGAGACAAGATAGATACCGCCACAGCTGAACTAACTCCCATGTCGAATCGAATAGTTATGCTTAAGGCTTAGTTTAAGTTCCACGACTGGGTTTTCCCAAAAAAAGACACTTGGTTTTGGTATTTACCCACTGGATCCTTGTCTCAAGTGACGTAGGTCCTGATGAAGGTCCTTTATCAAGGAGTCAGAGCTGAAGTGTTAAATGCCACCTCTCACGTAGACAATAATGAATAACGCGAACCTTCTTAGAAATGGACACCGTCGTACTGTCTCTTGTGATTGAATTCTAATGATGTCATTGCACTCTAAGAGAACTGTTACGGTATCAGGGAAATACCCGGAAGAAGCATGGATATTTCAAAACGAAATGTAGGTAGGTACCATTATTTTTTCATGGATTTATCCTTCTTATTTTAGACAGCTCCTTTCTTAATTTTTTTTTAATTATGTTCGCTAACTTCATAAATTATGTCATTTCTATTAAATGTATCTACATACATAGTAAGTACGAAGTATAGCTGGGTATCTAGTTAGTTCGATATTGAGAGAATGAAACCAACGTGTTTTTCACCAAGAAAATCTTCGTTGTCCTAATGACTCTGATTGTTTTTCTTATGCAAAACGAACATTGCGTCTGTCTGTCTGTTACATCAGTATCAACAAATCCTCGTATTGTGGTGTAAATCGAATTATGACGACTCGATTATGGAACCTTCCTAGTGTGCGCCGCGCTACTGTGTCGCGCTGTACCGCGCTCGCTCTTGCAAACGTTAAAAATATATTTGATTAGAAGCATGCAAAGGGAATTGTATGCTTCATTTGAAGTTCTACACGTCCTCAATTACAAAAGCAATCTTATGTCTCGTTTAGGATGAGAAAAAATATGTGTATACCGTTTGAACTCTATAATCAAGCAGGTAATTGAACGCGGGCGATCACCCCCACACAAAACAATGTAGATGCAATCTATTAAGTTATTGAACTAGGAAGTGTATTGGCAAATATACACGTCAAATAATCTATCGGGGACAATGCACGTTACAAATGTGACGCAAACATAAACCCATGCTATCGTAACAAGAAATCAATGGCAATGACAATATCACTTTTTCTCAGTAGCATTTATGACGTTAGGGGAACAATTAACAAGTAGGTATTGGAACTACAGGTAACATTAGGAAATAAACAAGTACCTATATCAATAATATTCCTCTCTATAGCCTCTGAATAATACATGATTCATGGACAAGTACCTCATTCTACGTAAATTAATCAAGATACGGAAGAGTTGAACAGTACCAAATACGTAAATATTAGACTACTAATATAATTAGGAATTGTGACTAAACTTATAAATGAGTCCGTATTAGGTGCTTCGCGTCACAAATAACATGTAAAGTAAACTTATTTCAATGTGAAGGACTGTCTGTCTGGCTATCTGTATTTGTTTGAAAATGATACGCTACCATATACCTCACAAAAAAAACCCTAAGTATTGTGTGTGTATGCCTAAATTTTTTTCTCAAATTTTAGATGCGAGAATTCAGCTCCATGCTTTAGCTAAAAATGAAAATTTTCTTCATATGAAAAAATAAGGTTGTTTTAATTGAAGTTACTGGATTATGCTTGCGCTGTGTAGGTACTGCCGTTCAAAATGATATCTGAGCAATCACTCCGAATAAATTGCCATTATGAATGTGATATCTGGAACTGCCGATATGAATGCGATAAGAATAAACGACATTGAATGAGAGGTGAGCGTGTTGTACATATTTCCATAATATTGTAGCTTTCTTTCAGCGTTCAGGTTCAGGTGCTATTTACTGAATATATGTGTGTGTATGTTTCGATGATGTATAAATTAACCTTTTTAATAAAAATACATAATATTGATTTTATCCTCAAGTTAATATAGCTATAAGTTATTTACGAGTAATTTACTTACACATGATGACGTATTGAAATAGAGGAATGAAAAGGTTTTTGTTTTCCAATAGAAGGTATGTAAGATTTCTGGAAGAGACATACGAACGAAAAAAATTTTTTTCATTTACGCAATGCATTCAGGACAATGCTGCACTGTGTCATTAACACCAACGCTGCGTTTGAATAGGTGCGTACGTGCCATTTTACTCTAATTTCCTTATGTTTCATATTGAAACAATAATCATAATAACAAGGTGAAGTTAGCCCTTAAATTGTAAGAATCATTTTAATAGGGCATAGTTTTGAAACCACGTTTCGTATTGCGTCGAAACTCATCTACGTGACCGTGATCGCACTCTGCCGCGATGTCGTCTTCCTTATACTTCGTTCTCGTGTCCACAACCAGGTATTTTTTATGACTAAACCAATGTTTGACTTTCGCACCGTACATTTTATTATATGCGGCATCCGCAATAGCTTTAGTAAATACGCCAACTATTTATATAAATAATTTTATCGCCATGCTGCAGGAAACTATGTATATTTATGAATGAATGGTAACTATAGGTACGCGAGTACGTAATGACTAGTCAATTTTAAATTGATAATGGTATCAATGAACAATCCAATACGATCTCTGC